TGGACGTTAAGGTACAAAGTCAGGATTTGAACCTAGGTCTTTCATGGTTTTTCAAATATACTACACTGCTAAACCACTTAACTTGAGTTCCACTTAACATAGCTCTTTCATAAGATAATTCTGAGAATTCAATGAGTAAACATATCTAAATTAACTAGTGGATTGAGGGGAATATAAATGGGTATTCTTAGCATTTTGGAATAAAGTTTGAATAGTCAAACCTCTACACCTTTCAGTTGATTCTTGGAACACTGCAATCTGATTTTATACCAGCACATTTCATAAAATATGAATTAAGCACTTTATACTATACTTTCTTTGTTTTTCTGAAAGTTTGCTTACAAACACAGATTAGAGTTGTATGTATATTTTTTTAAAGAAAAGGCTAGAACTGAAAAGGGATTCTGAAATCATCTAAAAAAAACCTTTATATGTTGGATTAAAAAAAGCACTAGAGAGAAGTGATGGAAACTGCCAATGTTGTTCAGTTAGTTAATATTGGAGACAAAAGAGTCCTCTAATTCCTAGCCCACGGTTCTTCTGATGACTTTTTTCTATTTAAAAAAAAAAGTAGTTTAGAGGCATAAGGAAAGGAAAAAAATAAATTTAAAATAGAAAGTCAATTTTAGTTTTCATAACGTGAAAACTGCTGTTACTTATCTATACTTTTGAGTGGTTTGTATCTTTTAAAATTCTCTTGATTTGAATAAGTGCCTTTCTAGAGCTCCATAACTAAAATTTATAGTATTAAAATATTTCTGAATGGCTTCTAATTTTCTACTACAAAAAGAACTTAAAACTCAACTAATGTGTGTAAAGGCATTAGCTTTACACATGATCATGGCTTGCAATGAGAAACAGTGAATCTTCTCTAATCCTCTAAATTTATGTTGACAAAAATCACACTAATATTAATTTTTAGACTGAAGAACAGGAACTGTCAACTGTCAGTGTCAAGTAAGTTTCACAAAGTTCTCTTAGTACAGAACACAACTCCCTTGCAATTTTCAAATAGACTCATGTAATTTTAATGTGTTTACAGAGGAAATTTCTAGCTGAAACGCACCAAAGCCTCCTGAGTAATCTTTAGGAAAATTATGCACAGCACCTAGAAAAACAGGTGAAAAGCTCTTTTGCAATAAATATAATTCCTAGGTTTAGTATAACAAATACAAAAAAGCTCAAGGTACATACTGGTCAACACTTTCACTTTTCTTATTCTCTTTCTTTAGGATTCTCTTCAAATTTCTTATATCTTTCTAAAAACCATTTTCAAGGTGAGATATGTTCAGGACAACTGGCTCAGTCTAACATGTCAGTACAACAACAACAAAAAGTGTAGCTCTAAATTAAAAGACATTTAAGAAATATAGCCGGGTCTGGTGGCTCAGCCTGTAATCCCATGCCTTTGGGAGGCTGAGGTGAGTGGATTGCCTGAGCCCGCAGGTTCGAGACCCGCCTGGGCAAGCGAGACCTCATCTCTACAATAAATCAAAAAAAATAAAAATAAAAATTAGCCGAGCGTGGTAGCGCGTGCCTGTAGTTCCAGCTACCTGGAAGGCCGAGGCGGAAGGATCGCTGGAGCCCAGCAGATCGAGGCTGGAGTGGCCGGGAGCGGCCACTGCACTCCAGTCTGGGTGACAGAGTGAGACTTCAACTCAAAAAGAAGTATAACCAGTTATCATGCACGGTCCTGCATTGAATTCCAGTTTAAACAAATCAAATTTATAAGATGTTTTTAGAATAACTAGAGAAAAGTGAATATGAAGTAGGTATTAGAAGATATTAAGAAATTAAGAGTAATTGCTTAAAGATAATAATATTACTTCAGGTATGAAGAGATTTGTTTTTATTTTTAAAAGACACATACCAAGATTAAAAGAATACCTTATTGGCCAGGTGTGGTGGCTCATAACTGTAATCCCAGCACTTTGGGAGGCCAAGACAGAAGGATTGCTTGACCCTAGGAGTTCGAGACCAGCCTTGGCAACATAGCAAGACCTCATAATCTCTACAAAAAACTCAAAACTTAGCCAAGAGTAGAGGCGCATGCCTGCAGTCCCAGCTACTCAGAAGGCTGAGGTAGAAGGACTGCCTGAGTCCAGAAGGTCAAAATTGTGGTGAGCCATGATCATTCCACTGCACTCCAGCCTGGGTAACAGAGCCAGACTCTGACTCAAAAAATAAATAATATACTTTATTAGAACTCTTCAGGATAAAAAGATTCATTTTTCATTATTTATTAATCACATTAATATAACGTGATCTTTTTTTATAATTCTTTCTATTTTAAATTTACTTTTCTAATTTTAATATTGCGACCCTACTATTTTTTTCTTTGAGAGACAGTCTTGCTCCATCACCCAAGCTAGAGTGCAGTTTACCACAACCTTGACCCTCTATGCTCAAGTGATCCTCCCACATCAGCCTCCTGAATAGCTAGGACTACAAGCATGCATCACCATGCCCAGCTAAATTTTTTATTTTTATTTTTGGTAGAGTTAGGGTCTCGCTAGTTGCCCAGACTACCCCAGTATTTTTTATAAGAATAATTTTATTGTTTCCCCAACCTTTTATGTTCAGCCTTATTGAAAGCCATTTTATTTTAGCTAAATTTCTTTTATACAAAGCAAATTACCAGATTCTTTAAATCCTCAAGGAATCTCTCGCCAAGAGATAAGACCATTTGCAGTCATTATTATATTTGTTACATTTGGTCTAATTTCTGTTACTTTAGTTTTGATGTTTTTGTATTTTCCTTGATATTTTTCCATTTTTATGTCTTTTTTTTAACTTTTATCTTTTGTAAGATACATTATTCCAACCTACTAACAGTTATGTTAAAGCATTTCATACACATTATTATAATTTATCTAGTATGTTTCAAAAATAAAGAATAACTTGGGCTATTCATTTATAGAGATAAAAAATTTAGTACTTCTGGCTTCCTTCAGCATATTCCTTACCTTCTTACTGGAACATATTTAATCTAAATATTTTCCAAAATTAACAGCAACTTAAAATTTTAAAATTAAAAGTAACATTTTTTAGTTTCCAAAAAGTTAAAGGTTTATAAATTCAAACAAATTACAACATTCAAATGACATGTACTTTACATGAGATAAAATAATGAGTAGTAAAAGTCTTCTCCAACTAGTGATTTGTAACTTTAGAAACTTAGTTTCTCTAAAGATGGTTTCCATTTCACCACTCATTTATTTTAATCTTTATTTCCTTATTCTTGAGTTATTTTTCAATTTCTCTCTCAAGTATGTAACGTGTATTATTAACTGAGTAGCATATTTTTTGACATCCTCAAGTCTAAGAATTTACCTTTTTATATAAATAAAAACTTATCTGGATATAAAATATGAAGCTAATAATCTTTTTCTGAAGTGCACAATTCATAATATCCTGTGCTCTATAATATATTTTTGCAAAAATTGAAGCGTACTTCATTTCCTATTGCTGTCTTTTTTCTTCTTCCTGAAAGTTGGCTGGGTTGTTTTTTACCTTTGGAACACAAATGTCGGGTCTTATTATTTCCATTTTGATTTTGTATTGGGTACGACTGCAATTTGCAATAACAGGTTATTCTTTATTCAGATTTATAAACTTTCAAAGAAAGTTTATAAATCTGAATAAAGAATATCTGATCTGTCTCTTCTATTTATTCATGAGCTAGATCTCGATGATCTGACCTCAGTGGCTAAGAGTTCAACATATTATATCTTATATTTTGAGAAAGATTAATAATTCATACTGCTAGTGGAAACTGCGGGGGGGAGATAATCGACAGTAGTGGAAATCTGCAGGGGAAGGGAGGGCTTACCTCATCAACAAGGGTACTTGCATAATGAATATTTATATACCTAACCCTGAATTGTACCCCGCAATTTTAAAACCAAAAAAAGTATTAAAAAACAGAAAAGAAAGAAATAGCACTGGAAACTCATGTGGACAAAATGACTAACTCTTTGAACATTAAAAAATATATATTTAATACTGCTAAATTGTTTGCTAGACCAAAAATATGCTTTTGACTTTCAACAAAGATTTTCTTTTGACTGCTGTGATTTTTAAGCCATTACTTTCTTTATATTTTGGCCTTTTATAACTATAGTTAATTATAATTAAATTCAAGATACATACTTATTGTTTTCGTATGAGACTAACATTTAAAATTGTAACAGCTATAAAATCATAAAGATTCAAACATGATTAAGGAATCGTTCAATATCATACATAAGAAAGCATTTTCTTGTAATACACCCTTCAATCTGATAGCTATACAGATATCTAAGTCAGAGAGAGAATGTACCCCTATTCTCAACTCACCAATACTTGTTTCTTTAAACATGTCTGAAGGAAAGTCATTTACCCCATATCAATAAAAATGAATATAAACTGATAAATTTTAAATTCCCAAAACGGAGGCCAATTAAAATGAATCAACAACATTTTTCAAATTGAATATGTATTATATAGACTGAAAGTTAAGTCACAAACTTTTACTAAAGTTAATATAACCTAAAAATAACACAAAAGTACAACTTTGAAAGCCAAAAATGAAGTCAAACTCTAATTGCAACATAGAATTTTATTTTTAAAAAATATATTGTCAGCCGGGCTCGGTGGCTCAGCCTGTAATCCCACGCCTTTGGGAGGCTGAGGTGAATGGATTGCCTGAGCCCGCGGGTTCGAGACCCACCTGGGCAGCGAGACCTCATCTCTACAATAAATCAAAAAAAAAAAATCAGCCGGGCATGGTGGCGTGCGCCTATAATTCCGGCTACTCGGAAGGCTGAGGCGGAAGGATCGCCGGAGCCCAGCAGGTCGAGGCTGCGGTGGCCGGGAGCGGCCACTGCACTCCAGTCTGGGTGACAGAGTGAGACTCCAACTCAAAAAAACAAAAAACAAAAAAAACAAAAACAAAAACAAAAATATATATTGTCCAGTTTGACAAGCTTCCAGTTTACATATTACTCTATAATACTTACAAGTTGATGTTCTAATAGTTGGATCTTTTCATCTTTTTTCTTTATTTCCTCTTTAAGTTGTTTTATTTCATTTAATAAATCTTCATTCTGAAATATTTTAAAAACTTAAGATGAGGTATTTAAAATACCATAATGGGAAGCATTAAATCAATGATGAACACAAAGTAATGAATAAATTATTTGTTCATTTTGGGGGAAATCTGCTACTAAAAAAATACCTTCTAAGATTTTATCATATAATGGAGTCTGACATGTAGACAATGAGCAATACTAGCAACAGCTAACATTTGCTGTGTATTTTATAAGATGTCAGAAATGAAGCACTTTCAGGTATTTATTAAGCATTTGATTCCAAACACACACCAGAGGGTTATCCCCCTCTACATAGAAGAAAACTGCAACATAAATCATAGAGCAAAAGAAATCACAGACAAAACAGTAACTTCAGATAAATTTCAAGGTATGCAAGAGTTGCCTGTTCAGAGAAAACAAAGGACACAACAAGCAAAGGGAATCGCTTAATTAAAGGCACAGAGTCATTTAGTGGCTGGTTCAGAAATCAGCAAAAAGATAAATGTGCCTGAAGGGTAATAAGGGAGATTCTTTTTCCATGAGCTACTTTTTTCAGGAACACTGCCTGAATCAAAGAGAGAATATCCTGTCAAATTCATCTATGAGGAATGCCTAATACTATTACTACTGAATGGAAACCTAATATCAAGGTAAGCAGGAAACCAATTAAATTATCCTATAGTTAGCCCATTCTGTGTTCCACTACTCAATTATTCAGAAATATATATTGAGCAAGTAGTATAAACAAGAAAATTAGAATATACATGTGAAATATATATCTTTTTAGAGAGAAAAATATGTAAGCAAATAACTAGAATGTATTATTACTGAGCACAAGTATGTCATCTCCTTCAGATACACTGAGAACAAAAAAAAATCTGTTGTAGTCTCTTTAGTGAGAGATCAAAAATAGACATTTTACAAAGGCTTTAACATATCACATAAGCATCTCAAACAATACGAAAAGCTTTTTTAAATAACACTATGTAGCCTATAATTGGGAAAGATTGTTTTCTATATTAAAAAAATCTCCAGGTGAATTTTAATAGTGTAGGAATTTTAAAAATTCATAAAGCAAGAAAAAAGAACACAAATTCTGAAAAACGTATTTCTAAGGCCACGTTTAGAAGGACTGATGTCTAGGCTATGTAGCAAATGAAACTATTAAGAAATAATAAATATATCTGATTATATAAAATCTTAAAGCATCTAAACTAACATTACAGTTAAAAGCTGGTGAAAACCCATTCAAATATGACAAAGGATTGATATCTCAAGTATATTACAGCCTGTCTAAACACATCAGATTATATTCAAGGCCCCAATAGACAAAAAGCCAGTTCTCACGTGTGTGCGTGTGTATGTATGCGTATGTGTATCTCCAATAAAATTTTGTATCTGACTCACTGAAGAACTATAAATTAAAATACTAAAGGCATTCTTTTATAAGTATTAAGTTAAGGAGAAAATATCCAATGCAATTTTTTAAATTGCAAAAAAAAAGTGTGGGGGGCTACAGAATCAGACACAGCAATTAACCTTTCTGGACAAACATACTGTTGTATATATGAAAGTTCAATTATTCTACCCTGAGGAATATATGTCAAAGAAAAGAAATTACTCTAATTATGAGAATACTAGAAGGTATTATCTGAAAGTTTACAAGTTTTCAATTGTTTGAAATATAACACAGCAACTTGATAGAATACTAAATAGCCATCATTCATGTAGTTATGGGTAGGTAATACAGAAAATGAAGTCAAAGTGAAATTAAAATACAATGTGATAAGGGCTATATATATATATAGCCCTTACCACATTGTCAGGCATGGTTCTAATATTTTTTTCGCCAAAACCATTTCTTTTTATTTCTTGCTTTAAATATTATTTTTTAATCGACAAACATATAATAATCAGATCAGGATAATTAGCATACCCAGTAACTCAAAAATTTATCATTTCGTGTTGAGAACACCACCAATTTTATACATAAAGATAGGCAAAGGAAAACACATCAGGAAAAGACTCCACACCAGTGGAGTCTTAAAGAATGCAGAAGGTTGAGAAGATAGAGGGGTTTGATAGGCTTTGGATTTTAGAGTAAAGGATTCTAGGTGTCATACAACAACAAAAAGGGGAGGACAATCATTGCATGTTTGGAGAATTATAAACAGTGATGCTGTTGCACAAGGCTATGGTGAATACTAAGGAACAATTTGGCTAGTAAACTAGGCAAGGGCCAGATCATAGGCTCATCAAGTATGGCCTTAGCTAGGGAATGACAGATTTGCATTAGAGATAGCTTTGACAGATGTTGGGAGGTCAAATTTGACACACATACACACAAAAATTCCAACAAAATAGAGCTAGGAACTTGTTACTGAGATATTGCAATACTCTAGATAAGTAAGAATATAACCCAAGAGAGTGATAAAGACGGAGAAGAAGAGAAGAGATCAAAATTTGGAGATTTTGGCAATTCACTGCCCATGAAAGAAAAGCCCAGAGAAGCAATCAAGAGTGATATCCATATTTCTAGCTTGAGTAATATGGTGAACAGTTGTGCAACCAAAAGAAATGGAGAACATACAAGGATAAATATATTCAAAGAGGAATAGGAATATGTGTGTTTTAAACATATTGTTAGAGGAACCAATGGGTAGGACTTAGAGCAGAAATGTCCAATGGGCAAATGAATTATCAAGCATGAAAGAGAGGAATTATACATGTTACCCGTGTGTGTGTGTGTATAAAATCATGAAAGTAAAAAGTTCAAACAGGACTGGACTAAAGATATAAATCTAACATTTTAAGTAGAGGAAAGCCAGGTGCAGGGGCTCAAGTCTGTAATCCCAGCACTTTGGGAGGCTGAGGTGAGCAGATTGCCTGAGCCCACAAGTTAGAGAATAGCCTGGGCAACTTGGCAAGACCTCATCTCTACAATAAATCAAAAAATTAGCCAGGAGTGGTAGCGCACGCCTGTAGTTCCAGCTACTTGGAAGGCTGAGGTGGAAGGATTGCCTGAGCCCAGCAGGCTGATGCTGGGGTGGCCATGAGCATGCTACTGCATTCCAGCCTGGGGGACAGAGTGAGACTCTAACTCAAAAAATAAATAAGTAAAACATAAAGTAGAGGAGAAATCTACAAAATAAGTGAGGGAGAGAAATGTTGAGAAGTATGAAGAATTCCAGAGAAAAATTACAAAACAGCCAAGAAATAAACCTTCTAAGACAAACATTATGCCAAACGTATACAGCATTAAAACCAATAGCTATTTTCATTTGTCTGCGTTTCCACAATAACTGGAAAAAGGTTTAAGGAGAGTCAAGAAGGATTTTATTTGACTTACTGAGTTTAAGATAAGTGAGGTACAAAAATTTATAAACTGACAATGAAGAGAAAGTAGAAGCACAATGAAGACAGATAAGAGCAGGAAGAGACATAGATCTCAAGCAGCAGCAGTAGAGTGAAAAACACAAGAAAAGGTGGTCATCCACAGCATAGTGGCCATTTTCTCCTTGTAACTACAAAGAGAATGAGATAGAAGATAGTAAGGCAGGAAGCAGCAGATCTTTGCTTGATGAATATAAGGCTACCCATAGAGGTTGCAAAGCAATGACTAAGCATGGGGCTTGAAAGGGCTCAATGTTTGGAATACTTCTTCAGGAGAATGGAGAGGAAGCTGTCCTGAGATAAATAAAAGATCAGATCAGAGGCATAGGAGGCCCAGTGGAGATTCTGAACTCTTAATTTTTTTTTTTTTTAGTGAGTCTCATTCTGTTACCCAGGCTGGAGTGCAGTGGCACACTCACAGCAACGGCAGCCTGGACCTGCTGGGCTCGGGTGATTCTTCTGCCTCAGCCTTCCAAAAAGCTGGAACCACAGGTGTATGCCACCACGTCTGGCTAATTTTTTGATTTACTGTAGAGACAAAGTCTCGCCAAGTTGCCCAGGCTGGTGTCGAAACCCTGGACTTGGGCAATCCTCTCCTCCACTTTCCAAGGTGCTGGGATTATAGGCGTGAGCCACCAAGCCTGGCTTAGACTGTAAATTTTTAATGGCACAAGATATTATATTTGTGTCATTTGAAACTATACTTCTAAACCATCTTAGATGAGATGACATAGTTGGGGAATTGCTGATGAAAGTGCAAGAGAGACTGGGATACGGGAGAATAGACAGGATGAGCTATTGTATCTCAACGTAAATAAGAAAAAAAAGACTAGGAATGATCTATCTGTAAGGAAACAAAGTATGAGCAAGAAATAAATACCATGTAACAGTAAATCTGTCATGTAATATTAACTACATAGATAGACTAGATAGGAACATTGAGGAAAAGTGAAGATACCAGTTGTATTAAAAAGGTGGAGTCAAACTTTATTTTATTTTATTTTTTGTTTTAAGTTGGAGTATCATTCTGTCACCCAGACTGCAGTGCAGTGATATGCTCCCAGCAGCCTCAACCTGCTGGGCTCCGGCGATCCTTCCAGCTCAACCTTCCAAGTAGCCGGAACTACAGGCACGCGCTACCACACCTGGCTAATCTTTTATTTATTGTAGAGACGAGTTCTCTCCAAGTTGCCCAGGCGGATCTCGAACCCATGAGCTCAGGCAATCCACTTGTCTCGGTCTCCCAAAGTGCTGGGATTACAGGCTGAGCCACCGAGCCTGGCCCTAAATTTTTTTCTTTAAAAATAATTTCTTAGCTGG